ACAGCAGGGACCTGAGGCTGCATGGCGCCTGGCAGGGGCAAGGGACCTCAGGCCGCGCCCCCCACCCGGGGGGCTTGATGGGAGACCTGAGGCTGCACCCCCCCCACTCCGGCAGGGCTTAATGGGGAACCTGAGACTGGGCCCCCCACCTGGAGGGGCTTGACAGGGGCGGGGCCGGCCGGGTCTGGGTCTCACCCAATGGGGGTGGGGCCGGCCGGGTCTGAGTCTCCTGCATTTTCGAAGTGCGTGCAGGTGGTGGGCGGGGACTTGACTCTGGGTCCCGCGGCGCCCCCCAGACTCTGACAGGAGGGAGATTTTCATATACATTTTACTAATTTTCTTTCATTTCTGATACTTCTATTATAGAGAAAGGGCAAATAGCCATATTAAATATTTCCTCTAATTAATTCCCTTTTAATGTGCAAGAATTTCATGCACCGGGCCACTAGTTTGATCATAATGATTAAATAAATTGTAAAGGGCAAAAGCATAAGTATTTCATCTTCATATGTAAATCGAAAATGTTAATACATTCACACAAAGGCAGACGTGGGGTGACCTGGGAGGAGCACAGGTTGAAGTTCTGTCCTGGAATGTTTGGCTCCTGGAGTGTTTGGCCTGAGTCGGGTCAGGGCCACGGTGAGCAGCGCAGGTTCGCTGGGGAAACCCTGGGAGACCAGGAAGATGCACGTTGCTGCCTTCCCTGGACACCTGGGACCCCCTCTGCTGCCATGGACACATCTGCCCCTGGGCCAAACGTCTAGGCCAGTGTCGGCAAACTGCGGCTGGCAAGCCGCATGCGGCTCTTTGGCCCCTTGAGTGCGGCTCTTCCACAAAATACCAACTTCTGCGCATGGGCCACAAAGTTTCAATCGCACTGTATGTGCGTGTCCGCACGTGATATTTTGTGGAAGAGCCACACTCAAGGGGCCATAAAGCCGCATGTGGCTCGCCAGCTGCAGTTTGCCGGCCACTGGTCTAGGCAATCACTGGCCACCATACAGCAGCTGTTCCCGTGCCCGCTCTGCCTGAGGGTCACCCAGGCCCTGTGTCTGGTGGCCCTGCTTTCCCTCAGAGCAGGGCGGAATCTCCCGTATGTCCCAGAGGCAGTTAGCCACCCGCTGCCCGCGTTGCCACCAGAACCCAGGCGCCTACCTCTCTCTGATGCTGCATTGTTTCCACTCTGGTACCTGTGCAACCTCCAGGCTGCCCCTCTGGCCGCAGCATCCTGCATCTCCAAGGCCATTGAGGACTCGATGGCAGATGGCACGACCGGCCCAACCAGAAGGGTAGTTACTCCCCAGACCCTACCTCGGGGTGTGCACGTGGCCTCTCTCGGGTACAACTCCACGGCCACGTCGGTCACTGCAGGTGTTGCCGCGCTGGGAGCTGTGCCGCCTTCCGTCTGGCTCGCTGCCATTGCCCGAGGCAGGACATGTAGTAGATCTTCTGAATGTGACTCATTGTTATGCACTTATGGGAGAACTTCAGGCCAAACCATGCCCTTTGTTACCACTCAGCCTGATTGCTTTTTTTGTTAGAGTGGTAACATTCATCTAATGTGGAACTTACCATGTCAGCCATTGAAAACTGCAATTCAGAGACTTCCAGCACAGTCACAATACTGCCTAGTTCTAGAACGTTCTCAACAGGCTCCCTGAGCCCTCTGCACACCCAGATGATGCTGTTTGTCCACGGAGGATGGTGAAAGTGTGCCTGGGGTTGGGGATGGGGGTGGGGTGGGCCTGGCTTGAGCCAACATGTGATCAGACAGCACCACCAGAACTTACCTGTGTGGGAGGCAGAGGTTTCCTGGAGAAGAACCAGTTAACAGAAGGGAGAGGTGGGGGATGAGCTGGTCAGAGAAACACGTGAGGGGCAGGTTGTCCAGAGGGAAGTGGGGTCCTGGCCTGAGCACTGTGCGGCTGGCATTCTTGTCAGTTTCTCCACTGACCCAGGAGCTTCTGTGAGTCCTTCCTCATTGGCCTCAGAGAAGGGAAGTTGGAGGGGAGGAGGAGGAAGGGGAGGAGAAGGGGAAGAGAGGAGGAGGGGAAAGGGGAAGAGGAAAGAAAGGAGAGTAGGAGGAAGGGGAGGAGGGGGAGGGGGGAGAGGGGAAGGGAGGAGGAGGGGGAAGGGAGAAGGGAGAAGGGGAAGGGGAGGAGGAAGGGCAGGAGGGGGGGGAGGGGGAAAGGGGAGGAGGGGGAGGGGAAGGGGAAGAGGGGGAGGAGGGGGAAGGAGGGTGGGAAGGGGAGGAAGGAACTGACCATCCTGGGCCCAGGCACCACTGAGCGTTTGTAACATCAGACATTAGCCGCCTTGTTATCGGACTCTGAGCTCCCGAAGGCCGACTGCGGACCCTCCCCCCCTTCCCCGTTACCCTGGCAGCAGCTGCAGGTAGCTGTCCCCCTTGTGTGTGTATAACCAGCAGCTGGCGAGGGGGTCAGAGCAGAATTTCCAGGGTGACCTGCTGCTCCCATGCTGCCGGCAGGACGGGAAGAAAGGCTCAGCGAGGACGCAGCCCTGCCTCCTAGGGGTTGGCTCCAGCAGGGCAGGCGCCTCGGCCCCTGGTGTCTGGTTCCCTTTCCCTGGAGACCTGGGCAGGAAGGCCTGTGGCCCCGGACTCCAGAGCAGGCTGGCTGTCCCTGGAGGACTCTGCCAAGGACCTGGGGCAGAAGCCGAGCGGAGCCCTGAGCCCATCTTTCCCCTCCCCAGGCTGTGCCCCTGGGGGCAGGGGAGCAGGTGGGCGCCCAGAAGTCTAACCCTCCCCCCCTCAGGACTGGAGCCCACAGGGGCTGTTTGCATGAGGCACGAGCCTGGCACACGTGGGGCTGCCCGGCTGCCAGGGGTGACCAGGAGGCCCCACGGTCTGATGCCCACGGGGCTGCCACTTGGGAGCTCTCTGTGCCACAGTCCCCTCAGTTCTGTAGGACGCACCTTTGTGAGAGCTGGTGTGAGGACTGAGTGTGCTGGGCTGGGTGGCACCTCTGTGCAGAGCTGCCTCTCACCACTGGCGTCATCCCCATGGCTTCCCGTGGGCCTGGGCAGGCCCACACGAGGGGAAGAGGAGCCAGCAGGAGAGCCCACTGGCCCGGGCGGTGGCAGGAGCCGGTGCGGAGGAGGGGCCTTCTGTGACCTGCCACGGCTCTTGTTTCCTGAGCTACATTCCCAGGCCCGAGCAGCGCAGAGGCCTGCGGGTGGGGCTGAGGAGCGTGTGAGGAGCAGAGCGCACAGGCCAGAGACTCTTCTTCCTCAATTTTGTTGGAGGGTTTATTTTGCTCATTAGCTTCCTCATGTAAGTGAAACCATATGGTATGTGTCTTTGTCTGGCTTATTTCACTCAGCACAATTCCCTCCAGGTCCATTCATGATGTGGAAAATGGTAAGATTTCGTTCTTCTTTATGGCCACTATTCCATGGTGTGAAAGTACCACAACTTTCTTGTCCACTCACCTCCTGTCGCCGGTGTGGCCCCAGGCCTGGCTGTGGTAGACGGCGCGGGCCCGGGCAGGCCTCCTCCAGCTACACCTGGGCTCCGTCGGATGTATCCCAGCAGCGGGAGGCTGGCCATCAGGCAGCCACGGTTTTGGTTTGTTGAGGACCCTCCACGCTGTTTTCCACGGGGGCTGCAGGCACCCCTGTTTGAGCTGCAGGAAGCAGTGCCAGCGTTGGGGGGTGCTCCCTCCCAATCCAGAGCCCCCGCCTTGCCCTCACAGGAAGCTGTGCTAGGAGGCAAAGACTGTGCTGGTGGCACAATCCCGACAGCTTGGTTCTATCCCTGAGGCTGGTGACCCAGGAGAAACCCAGCCGCTCAGCTCTAAGCAGGTTCCGTGAGACGACGTCAGGGGCAGAAGCAGGGCTGACATTCTAACCAGAAGGCGAGGCGAGGCTGGCGGCGAGCACTGGGATCGGCTCCTTCCCTCTCACACCCGAGGCCACCGGCTTCATGGGGCAGGGCTCCCCGGCAGACCCCTGGGCCGCCGTGAAGGGTCAGGACCGTGGGCAGTGCCACGTGCACGCTACGTGAACTCCCTGCCACTTGTCTTAGACACGAGGCGGCTTTCCTCAACAGGAACAAGAGCAGCCAAATGCGAACGGTAGCGCACGCTGAGTCCGACGGCCCACCCAGCTGTGATCAGTTTGAAAGGTTCTTTTTATTTTTCTTAAAATATATTTTATTGATTTTTTACAGAGAGGAAGGGAGAGAGAGAGTTAGAAACATCGATGAGAGAGAAACATCGACCAGCTGCCTCCTGCACATCTCCTACTGGGGATGTGCCCGCAACCCAGGTACATGCCCTTGACCGGAATCGAACCTGGGACCCTTCAGTCCACAGGCCGACGATCTATCCACTGAGCCAGACCGGTTTCGGCTGAAAGGTTCTAACATCATGCCAAGATCAGAGAAACACATGATTGGTATTTTTAAAACTTTCTTTTTCAATTGCAGTTTACATTTGTGGTTGTTTTGTGTTCGTTCCAGGTGCAGCACAGTAGCTAGATAATCAGATACTTTATGAGGCGCTCCTCCCGGTGCGCCCAGCAGCCCCCTGCCCGCACATGCTCACTACGATATCGTTGACCATCTGCCCATGCTGCACTCGCACCCGGGACTCTTCTGCGTCTACCAATCTGTACTTCTCATCCGTCGCCTTTCCCACCGGTTCCCAGCCCTGATCCCCGCTGGCAACCACGGGCGGAGAAGCAGCATTGCTATCAACTTGAGACATCATTTAAGGCGCCAACACTCATTAACGACCACTGGTGATTTTCAGCTTCATGGCCATGGATATAAAAAGCCATTTCCTGATTGAAAGCTTAACTTCGGGAAAATGCAAAAATATTATGTTTTCCTGCTGTGACTGGGAGAACGTGCTCAAATGCTGTCCCCCTCCCCCTTCTGTGCACCTCTGTTGTCTGCCCCCCACAATCCAGGGCCGCAGATGGGCCGGGACTCTCAGAGATGGGGCTGTCCTCACAGGGCCCAGTCTGTAGCCGCCAAGATGACAGATGGAGGTAATGAGCTCTTCGTGCTACTCCCTCTGGAGGAGCTTGTCCTGCGCTGCAGACGCAAGTGCAGGTGCGTGTTCCCAGCCATTCATGTGCTAAGGCCCTCTGGCCGGGAGGCTCCAGCCCACCTGCACCTGGCCTTGGGCTCCCAGCCTCCAAACTGTGGGAATAACTCTAAGCTGCCTCTGTGGTGGTGTTTGCTGAGCAGCCCAGCTGCCCCAACTGGGAGCCTTTCTCTACCCCCAGGCCCGGAGGGAGGTCAGGGTCAATCTGGGCCACTCTGAGCACATCTCCTCCCGGAAGCTCAGAGCTGCACTCACGTTGGAGGTCTGGCGTGGGAGTCAGAGGCCATTTCTGTCCCCACAGACTCTCCTCTGGGCTCCTGAGGCCTTTCCCGGGGCAGCCAAGAGTGAGGGGCCAGCTGTCCTGCTGACTTCACCAGCCGAAGAGGAGGGGACGTCAGGTATGGCTGGAGGTGGGTGGCGGTGCGTGTGCCCCGCGTGTCCTGCTTCAGCGGAGCTGTTTGTGTCTCGGCAGAGATTTCTGATGCTTTTCTACCTTGAGGCACTGTCTGCAGATGATGCTGTTCATAAATAAAAAGGATAAGCCGTCGAGGTGGTGCTTTCTGGACGGGCTGCTGCGGCAACACTGTTTCCAGCACTGGTATTTCCTCTCTTGCCGGCAAGTTAGTTCAGAGCTGATGGGGCGGCTGTGCGTGTGCAGGCCTTTGGGCACGTATTGTTCGGAGTATTTGCGCGCCATAGCCATGAACCTAAACACATATCAGACGTGCATACTGAAAAAATATAAACATTTAAAACTGGTTAACTTGAACCCTAAAATTTCAATTCTGAGTGATGTTTCTTTGCCCCTTTTCAAAATTCATTAGTTAGAGTCCTGGCTTTCATCAACCTTTCCTCAGCTCATCTCTTTTTGTTTTCTTTTTAATTTTTAAAAATCCCTACCAGAGGATATGTTTTTATTAACTTTTAGAGAGAAAGAGGAAGGGAGAGGGAGAGAGAGAGGGAGAGGGAGAGGGAGAGAGAGAGGGAGAGGGAGAAAGAGAAACAAAGCATCGATTGGTTGCCTCTGCAATACCCTGACCTAGGATCAAACCCTCAAGCCAGTCATGTGCCCCCATCTGGAATCAAACCTGCAACCTTTTGGTGTGTGGGACGACACTCCAACCAACTGAGCACCCGCCAGGGCTCAGCTCGCCTCCAGTTCCCCTGCCCCAAGAGCTTGCTCCCATCATCCGGGCCACTGCTGTCGCCAACAACTCTGATTTCCCACCTCCCATTCCTTTGCTCACGAGTCCTCAGCCTAGAAACCTTCACACACTCTACCTGTGGATCCCAGTTCAAGTTCCAGACTGTAAAAAAGTAACCAGTGGAGGCCCCTTAAAACGGAGCCAGAGCGCCATGCCTGAGAAACTGCCCTGTCTACGTCTCACATCTTAACATTAGATCATACACTGAGTGTTTATGAACTCCTAGGCTGTGTGGATGAGAATCCATCCTGAAATCTCACCAGGAGATAAGGGGTTAATAGCTAAACTTTATAAAGAACTTATACAATCCAACACCGAAACGGCCGTCCAAAGTGGCACTCATCTTCTCTTCATCCCGTGCTATGGAGGGCTTCCTACTGTTGGCAGGTGCTCGTCCCCACCCCCAGGTGCGCACAGACACTGGAAGAAGGCGTCTAAGTGGATTTAGGACATGTAGACACTGCCTGTGTGATATGCCAAGCGCTCCCTCCATTTTTCAAACACTAATTTTTGACCCTCTCCATCGCCTCCGAGCGGAGAGGTTTGTTATTATTGATGCATGTCAGAGGGGGAACTGAGGCACAGACAGCACTGCTCCCAAACCTGCACCTGGAAGCACAAACATTAACACCACACACGTTCTGTGGACCAGGCATCTGGGCGCGGCTTGGTTGGGGGTCTCTGCCTTAAGGTCTCTGTGAAGCAGGGGATGTGTTTCAACTGAGGCTCGCCTGCGGACAGGTTTCCTCCCAAGCTCACTCTCCGGGTTGTCGGCAGGATGCGGTTTGGACTGAGAGCTTGAGTTCCTGCCTGTTGGCCTGGGCACGCCCTCGATTCTCTGCTACAGGGCCTCTACATAGGGCTGCTCAAGACATGGGCTCTTGCTCCCCCCCCCCCCCCCCCCCCAGTTCCAGTGGTATGACAGACAGACAGACAGAGACACACATACAGGAAGTGAAACAGAGGCTGAGATGAGCAGTGGCTTCCCCAAGATCCAGCTGCACCCAGGCCTGTGTGAGTGTGTTCCATGCTGTGTCCCACTCAGTCTTGTCACTCTTCCACCTCTGCGTCTGTGCATCGGACTCGGGGAGGCCAGCCCAGGTGTTAGGGGCGTTGCCTCATCCGCACTGATCACTCCTTAGGAAATGTGTCCAGCATCATCCTCATGGGGCAGGTTGGGAGGCGGGGAGGCCCTGGGAGGCACGGAGACTGCCCCAGGGCCCGGGGCTGGTAAGGAAAAGGAGGTGTGAACGCAGCTTTCTCCTCCAAGCCGGGCCTGGTACCTTCCCAGGGCGCTGGGGGAGGGCTGCGTTAGCTGTTGGTGTGCAGGCAGGTGTGCAGGTCAGGGCCAGGAGGGTGAGCGGTCAACAGCCCGGAGGGGGCTTAGGGCGACTCTGATTGGAGAAGGGCCCAGGTCATGCAACCTTGACGGGTGACCTCACTTCCTTGGTGACAGATCCCCAACAGAAATTAGACTGTGGGAAACAGGTACCCACATTCTGGAGGCACCGCCTTTCCAGCTCACTTGGCCGGGCCGGTCAGGAGACTAGGATGGCTCTGTGTTGCTTCCCGTGCTTCCGAGGCTCTGGACAGAAGAAAGCCTGGAGTGAGAGCTGTTTTTGTGGCTGCAGAGATCGGCACAAGTGCCACCCCCACACCCCTCGCCCTCTGGCAGGAGGCACCCGCCAGCAACCGAGGGCAGCCCAGGGCAGGCCCATCCAGGCCAGCGGGGTCCCACCTGGGCAGCCCTACCCTCTTAGCCCTCATCCTGGGCTTGTGTGTGTAGGGGGTGGTGAGGGAAAGCGTCCTGGCAGGAGCAGGTGGGAGGTGGGAGGTGGGATGAAGGGCACACATCCTGGGCGGGAGCAGGTGGGAGGTGTCAGAGCCGGGAGGGTCTGTCATGTCATTGCCCAGGTCATGGCTGGCAGGAAGGGACGCTGAGCGCTGGGACAGAGCTCCTCTCCCCACCTGCTATCCAGAGGGAAGGGCCCTCTTGCTCCTCCCCTGCCTGGAGGTCTTTGCAGATGCCCCCTCCGCCCCACCTGGGGAGCAGAATTGGGGGTGGGCACCTCCCCCTGGCAATGCCTAGGCAGGGCCTTGATACCTCCTGGCCCCACCCGGTTCTGTCTTTGCAGAGCTCCAAGGAGTCACCTGGCTTTATTTGAAGTAAGTTTCCTTACTCCCTGTGCATTTCCTCTGAGGCCAGGGTTTCTGGGGACACCCCCCTCTGCCCCCCTGGACCAGCCCAAGGAGAAAAGCCGTGGGTGTATTCAGAGCTGACTCTGCCCAGGAGGCGCCACCATCACTGGCTCTGGGCAGAGGGGGGAAGGTTTCTCACTTTTAAAAGAAAGGCTCAGGCGGGCCCTGGGTGGGGCCTGGAGCCTGGAGCCTGGGGGCCTGGGGCCTGGGGGCCTGGGGCCTGGGGCCTGGAGCCTGGAGCCTGGGGGCCTGCGGTCTGGGGCCTGGGGCCTGGAGCCTGGGGCCTGGGGGCCTGGGGCCCTGGGGGCCTGGGGGCCTGGGGCCTGAGGGCCTGGGGTCTGGGGGCCTGGGGTCTGGGGCCTGGGGCCTGTAGTCTGGGGGCCTGGGGCTGGCTGCCCAGGCTGCGGTGTCCTGCGTGACTGGCTGGCTGTGCGGGCTTTCCCCGCAGGATGCACATCTGGGAAGCTGTGCGTTACTTGTCCTGTCCCGGTGGGGGGGCCGCTGGTTAAGGGCCCTCGTTGGGCTTCCTGGGCTGCCGCTGGCCTGGCCCCGACCTGCTCCTCGCCGTTCCCAGGCAGTGCCGGTGAGGGGAATTGGGAGCACCTCGTCTCAGGGCGGGCGCCCGGGACTCTGCATTCCCGCCGCGTCCCTGGGGTCCTGAGCTAAACTGCGGCAGCCACTGCAGAAGCGCATCCCTTGCCTCAGCTGGTCGCTCCGGCGGCTGGGAGGGGACCTGCCCTCTGCTGGCTGTTATCCTCCCACCTCCGGGGCCACTGCTCCTCTGTGTGCGGCCTCACTGACCTGCCCCAGGAAGCCCGGAGGCCGGGTGTGGGCCCTGCAGTCTGTCTGGTCAACGCGGGGCCACACCCCTCCCAGGGGCCGCTGAGAGCCCCGTGCCGTGTCTCCTCTCCCCGTCCCGTCCCTGTCCCCGTCCCCGCCAGACTCGGGCTGCCCGCAACAGCTCATGGCTCTTAACCACATCTCCTGCCTGCTCCTGAGCGCCAGGGCAGGCCCGGGCCTGCTGGACTCCGGCCGCTTTCTCTGCCTCCCTCTCCTCTGGCCCGGCTCCTCGGTGGCCCCTGCCCTGCTGCCTGGACCTGGCTCTGTGGAGCCTCCCTGGGAGCCATGTGGAATCAGTGGGTCCTGGGGGTGCCAAGGCCCGATTAACGCACCTTGTCCACACTCACCTGCTCCGGGAGGCCCTCCCTCCCCCCAGACACCTGGCCCAGGCAGGCTTCGTGGCCATGAGCCCCGTCTTCCCTGTGCCTCCCTCAGGGTCCTAACCCCAGGCAGGCTGCGGGCACCTTCCTTTGGGCACGGTGACCCCTGTGCCTCTTCTCCTGTAACTGGGCTCCTGAAGCACCGCGTGGTCGTCCTCCTGGTGGGAAAACGTGCATCGCAACAGTGTCACCTTAGCTGCTGTGAGGGCACAGCCGTGGCACTCAGCGCCCCTGAGGCTGCGCGGCCAGCACACTGCCTCGTTATGCGACATCTCCATCGCCCCAGGAGGCCCCAGCCCGCCAAGTGCTTTACACCCCGCTCCCCTTCCCTGGTCCCTGGCAACACCAATCTGCTTTGTTTCTACGCAGGGACTTGTTTTG